GAAGTGCATATGGAATGCACAGCTTAAAACTCAAAAACAAAAATAATGCACAAAAGAATTGCGTCAATCAGCTGATTAATCACCTGACTGTCTGAGTGCCTTTTTATCTAATATTAACTTACACACATTGATTGATGCATTGGGGGCAAATTAGGTCTCTGTCACAGCTGCCCCAAATGACATCATCATTTTGTCTGTCATCACGATGACTTTGCCGTAATCATAATAAAACAATGCACACACCTGAAGGAGCTTCCTCTTATCTCTGTGGTTACGATAGGCCACATACATGGCAACCAGGAGTGTTGGCGTGGAGACAAAGACAAGCTGAAGACACCAGAGACGGATGTGGGACACAGGAAAGAACTGATCATAGCAGACGTTTTCACAGCCAGGCTGAGGGAAAAACAAACCAACCGTCACAATTATGACAACATCAGTGTATAGTTACTAGACCCTGTGCACGAGAAAATGCTAACTTCCTGGTTTGAGACCGGATGTGGGGTTGTACATTTCCGGTAGCTTTACTTTGCGGTCAATCGCTACTGCGAAGATATCCTCCAAAATCATGTCCAAAACACGAAAAAGGAAAGATCGCTACAAAGAGCAGAAGGTGGGAACACTCACCACTGTTGTGTCATAAAAAATCTAATGATCAATTTTGACGTTTAAAGAGTTTAGATTGATCAGTTGTTTACATCACTCAACACAAGCAGAACTGCATTACTGCAGCAGAAGACACATCGTCCACATTCAGAAGCACATCTCTGTATAGTGACAGTTATTATGATTTAAACAGGAAAATGTTCAGCATTCAAACTACAGGTGAAGAATAGTCAAGCCAGATGTTTCCCTGTTATGTCGATATCAGCTAGTCAAGTACACACCTACACAGCATGTCAACAAACCGTGAAAAAAAGCCACACAAAAAATGAACGATTGCTGGTAAGGGTTTCTATACATTAGTATTTACGAAGGGTATGTTGTGACTTACCTTCACAATTACAGTGGTCCCTCGCTAATAACCCCGTTCACCTCTCACCTCGCTGTTTCGCGGATTTTTTAGTGCAAGTTTGCATGCTTATTTTTACATCACATTGTGTCCTGCGTCCTGATCGCTGCAGACGATCTCCTCCGTGACGTCTCTCCTGTACAGTACAGAATCGCTGCATCGATCGCTAGTAGTGTGACTCTGAAGTGCAGAACTGTATGTCGACAATGTCCACAAAACGTTTTGCACCTTCAAAACATAAAATTGGCTACTTGATTTCACCTATCGCCTGTTATTTTTTAGAACATAACACCCACGATAAACGAGGGACAGCTGAGAAATATAACATTTGAATCCCTTTTCTCTTTTGCTCTGAGGCGCGGGGGAAAAATATCAACAAGTCGATGAACATCATTTACAGATATATTGGGTAAATGCCCAAGACATCTAGAGAAATGTAAATCGCCGCTTGATTCATTCACTTGCTTAACTTGTTTTGGACCGTAAACAAGGCGCGAATAGGACACCGGAGACAGGGTTAGGGTTAGGGTTAGGGATGAACCTGTTTTTGCCTTCAGAACTGTCTTAATTCTTCGTGGCACCAATTCAACAAAGAGCTCGAAACACTCCTCTGATACTGCGGTCCATGCCATCACTCAGCTGTCGTTTAAACTTGTCACAGAGTCTCCGTTTCCTGGCTGACAGGAGTGGCGCCCGACACAATAAAAGCACAATAAAAATATTAAGTGGTGATAGATAGTGACTACTTTTTAGATTATTAATACTTTATGTAGTATAAAACTTTACAGTATAACTTTGAAGTCAGTTCTTAGACAGGAAACCAGTGGAGAGAAGCCATCTATTAAAACCAGTGAGAAGAGTAGATTCTGTATTCTTCGAGAACTAGGGGTGAGAGAATGATTCTTTGAGCTGCAGAATTCAAGCTCAGACAATAAAACCCAAATCTTATTTTAACAAATAAGTGTCATTATAACTTACATCCCATGTGTGGATCGGATGTAAAAATGGACACGTCCTACCTGCAATGTGTTACAGGTGAAGTCAGACTGCTCGTCCCCCCAGACGCTCTCCGCGGCAACAACCAGCACCATGACCCGGAAAATAAAAAGCACAGAGAGCCAGATTTTACCCAGGCTGGTGGCATGACGGTTCGCCCCGACCAACTGAGTGTACAGAGCGGGCCAAGACATCCTGAGGGAATGGACAGTGACAAGGGAATGGGAATGCTTGCACTACAGAACAGGGATTCATCAGCATACTCGTTTGCATTTCTTGTCATTACACGGTTGTGTTTATCTGCTACTTTTACAGCCTCTACACGTCTGACACATGGACACCGATTTCAGATTTCAGATTTACAAGGAAGTCAGTGGCAAACGATGAAAGCAGAGACCGTCGCTGAACAAAAGACGAGTTTGAAAGAGGACGGGATGAAAAGGAATGAAAGTGAGAGGAGGAGGGGAGAAGGTCCACTGCCAGCATTCATGTGAACTGATGAACCTCTCTGCCCACTGTGGACTGTACTGAACCGAGCCCACTCATCTAAAAGCACACTGAAACACACTGTACAAGCACACTGCTGCGGTTCTCACTGAGCTTCACTGTTCACACTCGGTCACTGATTGGTTCATTCATATTTTTTAGATGATGTGTACTTGCACTGAAAGAACCTGGGATATACTTCACATGTCATGCTTATTTAGAGGTTTGTTTCTAGCTGGAGATGTTTTGTCGTAAAGTAAAAACAGAAATTCTGATAAAAACCGGAAGCAACTTTTACCAAAATGAATTAAGATTAACTTTTGTTTTGTCTTTGTTGTTTTCTTACCTTGTGTCTTCAGTGTCAGGATGTCTCCATGAAAGTATTCCACATGATCCTTTTCAGTATGAAAGCGCGCACACGCACACACACGCGCACACACACACACACACACACACACACACACACACACACACACACACACACACACACACACAGCCTGTTGTTGCATCAGTCACATTTAAAAGAAAATCTCAGTCTAAGAAACTAAAACACAAACCTGCAGCTCCTGCTTTCTTTGCATGAAATCAAAGATGTGCCTCTCAGTGTGAAGTGAGACAGGATGATGTCTGATAGCTTCCTGTGATGACTTTCAAAATAAAACAACACAGCGCAGATTGTGCATTTTAGGAGGAAGAGATAACAGAGAGGAGAAATACAGATAATATTTTTAGCAGAAATGTAGCAACAAGAAAAACTCTGGATTGTGACAAGAAGCACTCTGAGAGTTTTGTTATTTGCTCTGTTAAAACCCATTTTAAAAGGCTTGACATAATTTTGAAATATTTTATGTGGATATAACGCATTAATTTCATTACTTAGTACAATCAGTTTTTTTGTTTAGGAATCAATGTCAAATTTAAAATGTTTTTGATCACAACCTTATATTGTTTTCAACAAAAACCTTATTTAGGAACATTCTGCAAGGATATTCATATTGTTACATATTTAACTGATCATAGCCTGTTATTGTAATTTACAGGGTGGGCCATTTATATGGATACACCGTAATAACATGGGAATGGTTGGTGATATTAAAGTCCTGTTTGTGGCACATTAGTATATGTGAGGGGGCAAACTCCTGAAGGTGGGTGGTGACCATGGTGGCCATTTAGAAGTCGGCCATCTTGGATACAACTTTTGTTTTTTTCAATAGGAAGAGGGCCATGTGACACATCAAACTTATTGGTAATGTCACAAGAAAAACAATGGTGTGCTTGGTTCCAACGTAACTTTATTCTTTCATGAGTTATTTACAAGTTTCTCTTTGTTCACAGCCATTGACATGTCGAAGAGGTTAACACGTGAGGAGCGGATCGAAATTGTGTTGATATCTGGTGAACGCAGTAACTGGGTCATTGCAGTAGACTGCAAGACACCCTACAAGACCACCCATCTCCCATGCTTTCGTGAAACTGGTTCAGTGTTGGATTTGCCAAAATATGGACGCAAGAAAACTGTCACTAATAAAGAAACATCAGTGGCTGTCCTAGCTTCATTCAGCAAGAGCCCACAGCGTAGCACTGGCCTCATGTCACTGGAGAGTGGCATTAGTCGATCATCCCTTCGGCGGATATTAGCTACTCACAAATCGCACCCTTACAAACTCCAGCTACTGCAGCATCTCAGTGAGGATGACCCAGATCAGCGCACAGAATTTGCAGAATGGGCAAAACAAAAATTGGAACAGGACCCTCAGTTCACGCAGAAGATTTTGTTCAGTGATGAGGCAAACTTTTATGTGAATGGTGAAGTTAACAAACAAAACCATCGCTATTGGTCTGACACTAACCCACATTGGATGGATCCCTCCAAGACTGTTGGAACAACAAAAGTGATGGTTTGGTGTGGTATATGGGGTACAATAGTGGGTCCATTCTTCATCAATGGAAACCTCAAGGCCACTGGATAGTTGAAATTGCTACATGATGATGTGTTTCCCTCTTTATGCACTGAAGCTGGCACGTTCCCTGAGTTTTTCCAGCAAGATGGTGCACCGCCACATTATGGGTGCCAGGTCCAAGCATTCCTAGATGAACAGTTTCCTGGAAAGTGGATTGGTCGTCGTGGGCCAGTTGAACGGCCCCCAAGGTCTCCCGATCTGATCCCCTTAGACTTTTATCTGAAGGCAATTGTCTATGGGGTGAAGATACGAGATGTGCAGCACCTGAAACTACGGATACTGGATGCCTGTGCTGGCATTTCTCCTGCGGTGTTGCTATCAGCGTGTGAAGAGTGGGAGAAGAGGGTTGCATTAAGAATCCAACACAATGGGCAGCACATTGAACACATTTTATAAGTGGTCAGAAACTTGTAAATAACTCATGAAAGAATAAAGTTACGTTGAAACCAAGCACACCATTGTTTTTCTTGTGACATTACCAATAAGTTTGATGTGTCACATGGTCCTCTTCCTATTGAAAAAACAAAAGTTGTATCCAAGATGGCCGACTTCTAAATGGCCACCATGGTCACCACCCATCTCGAGGAGTTTGCCCCCTCACATATGCTAATGTGCCACAAACAGGACTTTGATATCACCAACCATTCCCATGTTATTACGGTGTATCCATATAAGTGGCCCACCCTGTATATGACAAAGACAAAGATTTTTAAGCATGATTTTAAGGATAAAAGGCATTTTATTAAATTTTGATCTTATTTGACCTCAAGAAGAGGTCAGAGATCCAAAGAAAGGTGATAGCTAGAATCCCCATATATCACTCCCTATATGTCAATATACATATAATACAAACAATGGCAATAAAAAACATAGTTTTAAATAGCCTTGTCTAGAATTATTATTACTTTGACCTTCAGATCAAACTACTGATCTTGAAGCAGAGGTCAGAGGCCAAATGTATTTTTATTCAGTGCTTTCTGTATGTTGATAATACACATCAAAACTTGTGAGATTCATAGTTTCAAGTTATAAGGTTTTCGTCCATTTTCCACCAGTAACCATTAAGTTGACCTTGAAGTCCTCGATGGATGTAAATCAACTTATAATGGACTGTTCACATGACCTCACTCTACACCTCTACAAAGTTTTATCAAAATTTATTCAGGAATATAAATTCAAAGTAGTAATGAGATGAAACACCAATTATTGATCACGACTAATAAGGACAGGGCGTCGTGTGCAGGCAGGAGTGGTGAAATGGAGGACCTACAGTGCAGACTCCGGAGACAAAACATGAACTCAAAAAAACAGCTTTAATGCTGAACTCAAAAGTAACAAACTTCAAAATACAAACACTCAAGCACGCAGCCAAAACACACAGCTTGAATGAGGGTGGATCACGACACAGACAGATGAAAACACAGGGCTTAAATACACAGAGGGAACAATCAGGGAATGAGAGACAGTAGGGAAACACAGCTGAGGCAAATCTGGGCTGACAAGACAAAGGAAGCAAAACCAGATAACATGAGACAGACTTTCAAAGTAAAACAGGAACTACAGACTGAACTTACAGACACAGACTCACAAGCAGGCACTGCAACAGAGGGAACAGAGACATGGACTGACTGGACACAGAATAGAGGGAGTATGGAAACCAAAACTTAAGAACTACATAATCACACACCAAGAAGAACTTGGGAAAATAGAAATGCAAAACAGAAACCAAAACCTTCACAATAATAAACTAAGATGAGAACACAAATAAAAGGTACAAAACTGAAACCACTGGGTCAACGACCCAGGTACCCTAACACAGAGCAGGCAATTACTAAAGAGGGGGGAAAAAGATAACCTTGGCAGGAAGTAAAAGAACAAAGGGAATGCAAGAAAGGTTTGCTTCCAGTAAAGTTTCATAGAAATTTTCCACTTTTTAATGTTTCACAGGCTGGTTAGTGCTCTTTGGAAAAGAGCTCAGTTTCATGTGCAAGATGAGTGGGACTAGTCATGTTGCCTTTTCTTTGACATACTGGATTTTCCCAACTAAATAAACTTGGTTTGGATGACCATCCACTGCACCTCCTCTGCAGTGTGGAAGTCAGAGAGCAGAAAGAAGCAAAGCTGCGCTGGGGTTTAATGTGTGCGCGCGATCCGTTTGTGGCTGTAAGCTGAAACAGGTAGAGTCAGATGATTTTTCAGGTCCAAACCAGGACTTGGCAACAGTCACCCTGCAGGACAGAGCAGCTCTGTGTGTTGCTGATGGCTGTGACCGATGAGCCTTTCCCACTGTTTGTCAACGTGTGGGAGGATAAAGCACAACTTCCTCAGTTTACAATAAGGACGCTCAGAAAGCTCTAACTTGTTCTGCATTCTGTGCTGCAGTTTGAGTGGTACGGATATAAACTGTAAAACAAATATTTTGCAAACAAAAAGCTGCCAGCTTGTTAAAAGTTGATGAATGAAGCAGAAGCGTCCCCGTGCAGAATTGCAGACGTCCTGGCTGGAATCTCATGTGCATAACTACACGTAACATGACCCAGCATGATGAGGAGACACGAGCTGAGACAGAGAGGGCGTTAGTGATTGTAATGGAGTCATTAGGGGAATAACAGCGCCACTTATTCTTGATGCATATCAATGAATGAGTATCAGTGTCAGGGCCCGACTCAAAGAGCCACTGTTTGATCTCTCAGTCAGCACAGGGTGAAAACAGAGGGGTGAAAGCTGGCAGATTGGCTGCCCATTCTGATGAGAGGAGGTGGTGATGCAGTGGTGATGGTGGGGGGGCTCAAAGACACGCGCACACACAGTGAATGGGTGGAAAGAAAAAGAGAGAGGTAAAATAGAGCTGATTGTTAGAGTAGCTCCTGATCAGCCACAACTGCAGGAGAACAGAGAGAGGCACTGTTAGGATACACACACTGCACAAACACACACACATACATACTGTACAAAGACGCACTGTACAACGCTCACATATATGTTACCCAGAAATCTACACACGCTCACCCTCACACCATGTAATGAGTGAGGGGGAGAGCAGCATGTGACTGAATAGCAGGTTTCACATCTGTAGGTGGACTTGGCTGCCTGATCTCAGATCAGCCACTCTGTGGAAGTCTGTACAAGTGCTGCAGGATGAGCATTTACCCCCCTTCAGTAACATCATCTGAAAGGCTACTACAGGTGTTTCAGACAGGGGTGCACTGGCCACCCCCACTCCATACTGAGAGAGCGAATTCAGATTTCAAAATCTTATTTGCTTTCATATGTACCTATTTTCAGTGATATTAACTTTAATAGCAGGAAATTAACAAGGCATATAATTCTTTTCTTTCTCTCTTATATAACTTATATTTGACAACAACATAATAAAACCGCTAATTCTCTTTTTGGTGTGCCACCCCAATA